TGTGCAATCAGACATTCATATAAAGGTGACAAGTTCCAATACTATCCTAAATCATCTATCTTTCAAGATTTCTGTGAAGGATTGATCTGGGCTGCTATAATTTTTCTATTTCGAAATAGCGTGTCCACACTGAGTGGACTCTGAATCACATTTAGGGCTGGCCGGAACCAGTTCCAGCAGGGCACCAGGTCAGGACTTACTGTGTGGGGCTGCTGCCTGAGGCTATATGAGGTCTGTGCTGAAAGGGAAGGCTATCTGAGGTCTGTACTTAAAGGTTTCTCTGCTTGTTTGTCTACCTTGATGAGGGACAGCAAAGCAGTTTGTCTCTGCGTGCTTTGATTGCCCTCACTCGGGACACCACCTCTCTTGCAAGTAGGAATAAGAGATCCTCCGGAAAAGGGCTTTATTCCGGAGGATCGCGCCAGTCTGGACGCTCTTTTCCGGCTTTTCCCCAAGCCAGAAAAAAAGCGGTGGCCATGTTTATTTAAATCCCACGGGGGATATTTAAATCCCCCGTGGATTTCCCTATTCCAAAGTCAGAAATTAGCATGCCTCTTCCGAAGAAGGGGCCAGTGTAGACACAGCCATTTAGAAATAGCTATTTTGAATTTGGCATTATTCCTCGTGGAATGAGGTTTTCCAAATTCAAAATAAGTGCTCCGGTTTGGCTGTGTAGACTCTAGGAAAGTTATTTTGAAATAAGGGCTGTTATTTTCAAATAACTTTGCTGTGTAGACATACCTTTAGTGGCAACCTACTGACTGTAATAGGAATAAGTTCTTAAAAGAGGATGTAGATTTCAATGTAATTTGTAATACTAAACCAGTTAATCTATATTCTTGAGTTTTATTATAATACTAAAATGGAATTGTCTCAGTAAACATAATGCAGGAATCTAGGCAAATAATATAGTCTCAGTTTTGTTTTACCAGTTATACAATTCCTTACACTCTTGTCCCTGATATCTGGTTTGCGTATTGTTTAATGATATTATGGGCAAATCCCAGTACTCTGAATGGCTGATAGATATTATTAACCAATCAGAATGCTGATAATTCTATAATCATAGAACCATAAAATACTAGAACTGGAAGGGACCTCAAGAAGTCATCAAGTCCAGTCTCCTGCTCTCACGGCAGGACTAAGCACCATCTAGATCATCCCTGATAGATGTTTATCTAACCTGCTCTTAAATATCTTCAATGATGGAGATTTATTCCAGTACTTAACCATCCTGAAAATTGGGAAGTTTTTCCTAATGTCCAACCTAGACCTCCTTTCCTGAAATTTAAGCTCATTGCTTTTGTCGTGTCTTCAAACATTAAGAAAAATAATGTTTCTCCCTCCTTCTTGTAACACCCTTTTAGATACTTGAAAGTTATCATCTCCTCTCTCAATCTTCTCTTTTTGAAACTAAACAAACCCAATTATTTTAATCTTCTCTCATTTCTCATGTTTTGTAGATATTTAATCATTTTTGTTGTTCTTCTCTGGATCCTCTCCAATTTTTCCACATCTTTCCTGAAATGTGGTGCCCAGAACTGGACATAATACTTCAAATGATGCCTAATTAGGGCAGATTTAGAGTGGAAGAACTACTTCTCATGCCTTGCTTATAATATTACTGTTAATGTATCGCAGAATGATGTTCGCATTTTTTTTGCAACAGTGTCATACTGCTGTCTCATAGTTAGCTTGTAGTCCACTATGATCCCTAGATCCCTTTCTGCAGTACTCCTTCCTAAACAGTCACTTCCTATTTTGTATGTGTGGAACTGATTGTTCCCTCCTAGGTGGAGTACTTTGCATTTGATCTCATTGAAAGTCATTCTTTTTACCTCAATTTTTGCAGTTTGTCCAGATCATTTTAAGTTATGACCCTAACCTCTAAAGCACTTGCAACTCCCAGCCTTGTATCATCTGAAAACTTAATAAGCATACTTTTATGCCATTATCTAAATTGTTGTAGATATTGAACAGAACTGGTCCTAAAACTGGAACCCCTGTGGAATCCCACTTGTTATGCCCTTTCAGCATGACTATGAACCATTAATAACTACTCTCCCAGAAAAGTTATCTAGCCAGTTATGCACCCACCTTATAATAGCCCTATATAGGTTGTATTTACCTAGTTAATTGTTAAGAATGTCATGCAAAACTGTATCAAATGCTTTAAAAATCTAGGTATACCACATATACTGCTTCCCCCTTATCCACAAAGCTAGTTAGCCTATCAAAGAAAGCTGTCAGATTGGTTTTAAATTATTTGTTCTTGATAAATCCATGCTGACTTATCATCTTATTATCTTATTATCTTCCAGATGTTTGCAGATGGATTCTTTAATTATTTGCTCATCAATGAGTAGATTCTTCAAAAATGCCTGTATGGATTAGTAGCCTTTGCCATTTATTTGCAGTGAGCCTGAGGCCATTTTGAAAATTTATACATCTATAATGGTTATTTTTCAGTAAGTTGATGCAATGTTTAAAATTTTCTGTAGAGTTTTCAGCCATTTCACAGGCCACATTTTTTTAAGTTTTAGAAGTCTGTCCTGCTCTGAAACTAGCAAAGTCTGAGACTGAAATGGCTTTCTTTCCCATGAGACATAGAACGTTTTGATGCTGAGGAAACAGGAACCTAAAGATTTAACCCTTACTCATATTAACACCTGTATATTTTCATCTCCTAAACAAAATTGCTAAAATTCTCATGTCTCTTTCCTAAATTAGCTGTAGTTTTTGAAGTATTTTATAGAGCTGTCCAAAAAAAGTTGTCCTTTTTATTTAAAATGTTAAAAACTTAATTAAAATGTGAACCAAATAATAACTTAAGGTGTTTCCATTTTAACTCAGTACTCAAAATATCCTAGTAAGAAAGACTCCAGGATCAATATTTTCAAAAGAGAGTAATAATTTTAGATGCCTCCTTTTATAGGTAGCCAATTTGAGATATTTCAAAGGGCAATTTTGAAGGGAAATGCTAAGCCATTTAATTGTCCCTATTCTCAACCATATCTATGACATCCAAACACATTAGTTAATTTAGAAAATGTTGGCCCTGTTTGTTTGGTACGAGCACCCCACCTTCTGTTTCCGTGTTTTCTCACCCCAAAATATGGTTATTACAAAGGGAAGCATTTTCATTCTACCCATTTAGGGATAATTTTGGGGAGGATTAGACTGGACTCTGTACCTGAAATCAAAATTTTAGCCCCTCCTGAGTTTTATGATGAAAATATCACTTAGACCCTTTGCTACAGCGATGCCGCAATAATATACCAGAGCAAAATGATCTAAGAGTCTAGAAATGAAGTTCTTCAATATAAAACAGTAAATCAGAAGTCAATGCAACAAAATGGGATCATGTTATCTTCAATTTTATTTAATCCGAGGGAAATAAAGATCTCTCCTTCCTAAAATTCCAGATGAAAGTGAGAAAGGCATTTTGTAATTTACACCTCTGACATTAAGCTGAAAAGAAGCATTACAGACACCTGCTTCAGAACTGTCATTGTTTCCATGGTGCCACTTTCCATCACCTATTTTTAATAGTTTACACAACAAGATCAAGGGTGTCCCAGCTGTTACTGCCACTGTTGCTAGGCAACCTTTAAATCAGAGTTCAAGAAGACAAAGAATCATGCTTGAAAAATTTCTCAAGTGTCTGCTTCCCCCCTTCTTCTATCTACACCATTTTTCAGTGTTTAGTCAGATGCCATGTTTTCTTCCCCCCTACCACCACCCTTTTAAATTCTTTATGTAAACTGATGGCCCTCTGTTCAGCCTCTGACCGAATAAGCTTGTTTTAAAATCAACCTTCTGAATGCAATAAACGCTTCTTTAGGCTACAGAAACAATCCTGACCCTTAATAAAGGGTTTATAGCATTTCCCTTTTTTAATTAAATTTGAATAGTTTTAGGTCTCCATGATCTGCTGCTGGTGTGTAACATCGCTGTGCATGAGTGCATTGTGAAATGACACATAGATCAATGGACAGAGATTCAGAGCCTTCAGAGAATCATAATGCACGCCTGTGCATTCTAGAATCTTAATAGCATCACCTGCAAAAGGCACAGAGGTAAAAAAATCCACAGCAAATGGAGGTGTAAGCTAGGAAAGGATGAACTCAAATACAAGCAGGATTCTTTTTCTGTCCTTCATGTCTTTTTTGCTTGTTTAGTATACAATTTTTTAGAATGTCTTGAAAACCAGTTTTTTCATTCACAAAGAGTAATTACACTGTAAGCAATAACACATCTGTCTACTTAAGTCAGTAAGTGCAAATCTGCAGCATAGAAAATAAACATAAAGACAAAATATTTGTTTTTGATTCCTTAGCAATATTCTTTACCCTTGTCTTTTGTCTCCATTTTAGATCCATCTAGAGAGCTTATACTCAATCCTTCTGCATTTCTTTGTCTCTGGAACCCTTTCTCTATTTCCATAACTCTTAACATTTGTCCTCTTAGACTTTATTCATCCCATTTCACATCAACTTGGCTCATCTTCTCAGCGGCTTCCCACTTCACCACCTGCTGTAAACCCTTGAGAAAACTCTTTCTTGCCCCTCTCCATTGCACCTCCTACTCTGTGTGCATTTTCAGTTTCTCATAATCCTCTGTCACAGACCCTGTGGAGGACCCATTTGGCTAGCAATCTAAGCTATATCTAGACTGCAGACTTCTTTTGGAAGAACCTTTTTTCGGACAAGATCTTCTGAAAAATCTTCTGAAAGATAATGTCTACACACAAAAGCTCATCGAAACAACGACCTGCTTTTTCGAAAAATAGCATCCACACTGAATGCATGCCATCTCACATTTAAGCTGTGATTACTATTGATGGAGTGGCCACCAGGGCACCTGTGCTTTTTCCTCTTCTCTCGTCTTTCAAAAGAACTCCCTCTTCCCTGTCCACACATGCATTTTTGCGAAAGAGTTCTTTTTTGCACTAAAGAATATAGAACACAGAAGAATACATTTTAAATTTATTACCCTACCTGAGTTTCCTCACTAACTCATCCTTTCTTTGGAAGTCCTTGGTTGCTGTCTGTTGCCAAGAAGACAGTCAGGCATGATGTTCCTTGCCTGATGCAAGCTGTTACTTCCTCAATGGCTTCCCTGTTCCTACTCTCTCCTTTTCAGTAGAGACAAAATGTCCCAAGAAAGATCAGCTTGCTCTTCCCCCATTTGTCAGGTGACATCCTTGGCAGCTTTTTCACACTCTGCCAAGTGACTCCATTGCCAGAATGATTTGTCCTTTGTTAAACCCCCCATTCTCCTTATAAGGAACCATTATATTGTCTGGAGCAGTTACATTTCAATGGTCAAGCATTTTAAGGCAATTACCCTGTTTTGTTCTGCCACCAACTTTGAAATCTCAAGTCAACATGGAGACAAAGTGACCACAGAGAAGGCAAATGCTGTGGGTTCAAAATGGAGTTTGTAGCTTGGTAAAGATACCTACGGATCATAAACTCCAAATTGCCAATTTTCTCCTGATGACATCTCTCTCATCTTCTGCAAGTAAGCACCATTGCTCATCTACACTATTCATTCATTCTGCAATGCCATCATTACTCTCCAGCTAATTCTGTCTTGTTTTTCTTCATATTAATCCATGGTCTGCCAGTTAACGGCAGTATGATTGACAATGCACTCACACATGAGCTGCATATAATATACCTGTTCCTGTTAACTCACAAAAATCACACCTGTCTACTTTTCAGGGTTTTTAAAAAAGAGTTTGTATGAATTCAGTGTTCATGAAAGGCGCCAGCTGACAGCCCTAGAGATTTATATTTTCTATGTACAATGCTGGTGCAATCTTGCAGCATCAGTGTTTTTATCCCACACTGTCTGATGCTTATTTCTGTCCCACACTATCTGCGCCTTATTAATGATCATAACCTTGAGAGTTTACTTACAAGGTATAAGAAATAGATTAAGTCAAGCCCTTAACCCCTATGCTTGACTTTTTTACAGAGATTGTTACCTAGTTTGTCAATTTTGGTGGTTGTGTGTTTGGTTATGTTTTCTGAGGACACTTATCCATAGGGAACAGGACTAAAATCACATGATTCATTTAATGAAGACCATTAAACTACTAGATGACGTGACATTTGGTTGCCACCTAATCTGAATCTGAAACAACCACCAAGAAGTTAATAGCACTCTGTTCTGAAGCCATTTCATCCCATGGGACCTACCTAATTCTTATCTCATGCACACCAGTGTATATCAGGAGAAATGCCAGTGAAGTCAATGAATTCTCACTGGTGTAAAACAATTTTGAGTATGAGTACCATGTTCCTAGAATTTTTCTCTAAAATGAATTCCACTGTCAATATTTGTCAATGCTCCCTGAGTTATTTCTAGCATCCTGAATAAATGAACAGATCTTTTCATAGATTTATTTATGTTTGTGCCATTCCATTTTTCCTTGGCAAGAACTCATAGCTTCTTAAACAGAAACACATGTGTGACAGTTTATCTATCCCCAAAAATGTACTGAAAACATTTGTTTTTTATTTGGAATCTAATGTATACTTAGCCTTTGCTATCTAATAACTCTTGAGGAATGTACCTGCTCTAAATAATTTGTACTATAGAAAAGAATGTAATGTCTGTATCAACTGCTTTCAAGCCCCAAAAGGAAATAATTGAACCTTGAATCAAAAGCTTTCTGACTGACCACTGGATGCCTTTGGATGTACTTTGCTTCTCCCCTACAGGAATGTGGAAGCTTCCAATTCTTATTTCTCTTTGGTATGATTGTGACAGGTCTTTTTTGTTCTTCTCATATTTAACAGTAAATGTATAAGATTTCTGTTTTTCCATAATCTCACATACAGCTTACCAAACTCATCAAAGCAGGGTTGGATAAAGACTCAGAAACAATAAGGCTATGACTGATTTTCATTTTAAAATCAGAGTGTTTCTAGTCCATATGAAGTAAACCTGGAATATGTGATTCATGGCTAATGATGCAAGGATGAGTCCTTAGACTATTACCTGAAACAAGGGCTCCAAGGCTACATCTACAGGTGGAGGTAAGAATATGACTCCCACCTAGTGCAGGCACTCACACTAGCTGCCATCAAACTAGCACACTAAAAATAGTTATGTCACCGTGGTAGCATGAGCAGCAGTGTAAGCCAGTTGCCTCTAGAAGGAACCTGTGGGGTCCAAGCAGGTTTGCATTCAGGGAATCTACTCCATGAGACTACTTGCCACTGCTGGTGACACCACCTTTACACTAGTATGTTTGGCATTCTTCCTCGACAAGAGCTTCTGTGTTCATGTCTATGTGAACCACGCTCTTAGCTCCAAGTATACACGTAGCCTAAGATGTGTGAACAACCCCCACACATATCAATGTAGTGTTAACCCCATAGTGCACTACTTTGAGGAAACCAGCTAAGACAAATGGCTGGAGAAGGACAAAATGAACATGGTATCATTTCTTTACAAATATATTTTCCAAAGAGCTGCTAAAATGGTCATTTGAACATGTATAATATTAATTAATAAAGTATTTTTAATGTGGTAGTGCCAGCGATGGGGCAGGGCCTCATTGTTAGGCAGTATATGAACACATAACAATGTGATTGTACAAAAACACATTCTAAAACAAAGTCACAGGAGTATGCATCTCTCTGTCTCTCTCTATTCTGCAATCAAAAATTAGTTATTTATGTAAAGAGATTAAAAAGTCACAGATGTCCCTGAAGCCAATTTGTATACTTTGATCACCCATATCTAATTTAATGTAAACTAGTATTCAGATGTTATGATGGAAATTAAATTAAAAGGCAGGTTAAAATACATATATGAATGGGAGTGATTTTATGGAACAACACTAAATTTCTGATATTTCAATGTTTGCTTCTAAATTACATTGTCAGTGTTAACAATGCTACTATAATACAAACAACAACTTAAAACTTATTCCTTCAATCCAGAATTTAAGAGAATTGCAATTTTGTTTCTAGATTTGGATAGCAGAAGTTCCTCCTACTATCTGTTACTCATACAATATGAAAGACGCTTACCTCCCATCCCCTCAACCTACTTTCCACCCTCTACATGCTAATGTCAACAAAAGGAAAATGAATGCACTGGAATACAGATTTGCTTCAAAGACATTTTGAAAATTGGGACAATGAATTTGGAGACTATTCCTCTGATGGGTTTAACCCTTATTAATATTAATAGGTGTGCAGGCTTACTGCTGAGATTCAACTTTTTTCATTTAGAAAGTCAGTTATGAAAGCAGCACAATGTAATTTATAAGTGCTTGTCCAACATTTCTTTCATGAATCACAAATCATCACCTTGAAAAACGTCACAGCAAGACTGGGCTAGTTTCTACCACAAATCAGGGATTAAATATCACTGGAAGAGGCTAAGAACTGAGAGAAGTAGTCCTGAAGCAAATAAATGACAGCTTGCACAAATAAAATAGAGAAATGTTAAACAATAAACAAAAGAGAAACAATTACTGGCTCATTTCAAACATGTCATATTGCATTCTTTATTCTGATTGTGGAAAATCAGCCATTGACTACCAGTTACAATTGATTTTCCTTCACAGCTGTTTTCTAATTACATCTGAACACTGAAAATTCTAATGCAGCTACTCAGCTGTACAACAGGTCTCATTTCATTATTGTTTCTGTTATTACTACAGTGCCCAATAGCACTGATATTATAGTTAAAGGTACTGTATGTCTATGATGTTTGTATTGTACAACCTGCTTTTCGGATGCTATAATTCAAAAATTTTAAATTACCTTGGGCTGGAACTCAGTGTACAAGCTGTCAACACAGATACAACTATTTTTATTCTTTCTTTTTCCTTCTTAAAAAAAAATTCTAGGTTAGTACATCTAATTCGTAGTCATGAAGTTGTCTCTGGTTAGTATTTCAGAACTGCATTTCAATTTTTTTGCAAAGTGAGGGGGGTTATACTGCTGTGAGGGTTGATGGCCAGAGTCTGGTCAATCAGTGTCATGAATACACATTAAGCAGAGTATATGGAAATTTTCAATGGACAAATTTCCAGCGGTCTAATGCAGATAATCAAACCAAATGATTTTCTAGGCTAAGTCATAATGAATGTAGCTCTAAAGTGGTAATGATGACCAAACTGAAATAAGAACAATGCATGTATGCTATACTGTAAGTACATTATTTTTATTTTCAAAAGATTATGTTGGAAGAACAAATGTAATAAGGCAGTTTATTGATAATGTGTTGGACAGGTATAAGTTGGGGGCTGTAGGTGATGACAAGTGCTGTTCTATTGTTGGTTTTCTTGGGTCTGTCTTGAAGTAGATGGTTTCTAGGTATTCGTCTGGCTCTTTCAATTTTCTTTTTTATTTCTCCGGGTGGATAGTTGAGGTTTATAAATGCTTGGTAGAGATCCTGAAGTTTCTGGTCTCTGTCAGTGGGATTAGAGCAGATGCGGTTGTATCGAAGGGCTTGGCTATAGATGATGGATCGTATGGTGTGTGCTGGATGGGAGCTGGAAGCATACAGCCCCCAACTTAAACCTGTCCAACACATTATCAATAAACTACAGCCTATACTGGAACAGGATACTAAACTCCAAGCGGCTCTGGGAGACAGACCCATAGTCTCCTATAGACAACCACCTAACCTCAAGATGATTCTTAGCAACAACCACAGGACATACTACACTAATACCAACCCTGGTACCTTCCCTTGCAACAAACCCCATTGCCAGCTTTGTCCACATATTCACTCTGCTGACACCATTATTGGGC